CAACTTTAAGACTTGTGGACTTCAACTCCCAGAATTCCTCAGCCAGCAAAGCTGGCTGAGGAATTCTGGGAGTTGAAGTCCACAAGTCTTAAAGTTGCCAAGGTTGGACACCCCTGGTGTAAACCACTGGGAAACAGGTCAAAATTGTACCTTCAAAATTTAGCAGCAGAATTTTCAGATAAAACCTACACAAATATGGTGAAAAGGGCAGTGCAAAGTTTTTGGAACATGACACACATCCATTTCTTTCCTCAGCATTCCCCTGCATGATTAAAAAAAACAGGGCCAAAATACTTCAGCCTCATCCCATCTGGATGTCTCTGATTGCACTAATCAAGAAGCTATATTTCAGCCTTTAAACTAAAAACCCTATTTTAAATATAAAGGTCATTTTTTTTGTTTCAAGAGATGGTGGTTATTGGATTGTTTTTGAGATCATAGATGCTGTTTATTGTATCTGTGTACAGGTGACCAGGCTGGGATAATTCACTATGTAGATTATTTAAAATAAAAGATTGTGCATAATTCAGAAAGGAATAAAATCCAAATTGTAATAATGGTTTTTTCCTAAAGCTGCAAATGTTAGACTGATAATATATCTTGAATTGGTACAGATACACAGTTGTACGTGTTTTCATTGAAAGTTCAAATTAGAATACATATATCTTTCTGCAGGTATACACTTACTGTAAGAGCAGTTCCAAGCCCCATTTGGGAGCAATCTCTCCATTTACATTCTTTCTTATTCATATATTCATACATTATTCATAAATGCTTCATATCTTTTATTGTGATTGTACTCTGCTACTATCACTGCTATATTTATGCATTTTACAAAGGGGTCAGAACAATAACCTCAAAATTCAGTTTCAAATATATTGGATAAAATGTTTAGCATTCACTAGATAGATAACTATTTGATCCCAGATTTTGCTTTATTTTGTGTTTGGCCCACCTTGGCTTGAATATGTCATTGGTTTCAGTCCCATATTAATTTACTAGTTATTCTACACTACCACCTGAAATATGACATTACTTAAATTCATGTTATATGACTCCTCTTTATAATGCTTTATAGAGGATTCATTTCCTCTAAAACATTTAATCACATTCTGGTTATTAGCTTGCTAGTAGATTTCTTTCTGTTAACTGCAGCCTTTTACTGGAAGCTTTTACAAAGTACAGGATGTCATTTCTAATGTTCTTTAAGTAGCTGAATGCTTCTTTAGTCCAGTCATTGGTTCCTCTGTGGTATTTATAAAACAAAGCACCGGAACTTTGTACTCAGATTCTCCAAAATGTTTTAAATGAATTTTGGAAGTACTTTAAAATGCAATACGACTTAACTTAAGTCTTGCAGTGATGAAATATTTCAGTTGTATTCATTGCTTACTTTGTATTTGAGTTTGTGGGATTAATTTCAATTTTGTTCTCTTAAACCAAACACCAAAGGAAAAAAGGGAATTTCTTCAGATTTTGGCAGATTTAACAAGTACTAAAGAAAAAGATTGGTCATTGTTTATCTTTGGCACCCACCTTCCAGCAAACAAACTGACCATTGTACCTCTTTTAAAAACCTTACTAAAATATGCAGAAGTTGTATTGCCTATCTGCTTCCCCTTGGTGTTTTCCATCAACACCAGTTTCACTTCTGAGTTCAGGATAAGTAGTCTGTCACAAGGAGAATAACAAAATAACAAAAATAGCTGCCTCCAGTTTAGTACAGGTTGGTGGGATGCAAATATTTTTACTACCGGTTCTGTGGGCATGGCTAGGTGGGAGTGGCTGGGTGGGCATGGCCATGTGACTGGGTGGGCATGGCTCTTTTTGCAGCACCCCCCTCTCCCACGTTCCGTTTTTTTGGCCTCCTGAGCCTCAGGAAAGCTTCCTGGGCGGAGCAGTAAGACAGCGAGGGGGATCCCGGCACAGCTGATCATCGGAACAGCTGACAGTTGGGAAGAAAAAAAATACTACTTCAGCTGAACCGATAGCTGTTTTTTACTACCAGTTTGGCCAAACAGTAGCATTTTTTACTACCGGTTCGGCCGAACTGGGCCGAACCGGTAGAATACCACCACAGGTTAGACAGGACTTGATAAAGTCTAAAGAGATAGAGGTTCTACTAGGAGGAAATTAGACATTGTACCAGCTTAATAAGTGGTTGCCTTTATTACTTTCTACGTATTTATTTAATCATTGTGATGATTCATTTTTTCTATACTAGATTTTAAGAGGTTAGAAGCAATTAAATGTGTCCACCTTTGCCTAGAAGTTTCACTTGAAAAAACCTTTCATTTTCAAACTCAGTACATGTGTATTTTCAGATCTGAATTTCTGTTTATGTATATGTTGCTTATGTTAGAGTTTTTGTGTGGGTGTGCCCATTTTGCCTTAATGATGGGTTATTCAGACTGAAAAGTCACACTAGAAGCCACAGTTTTACAGAATCAGTTTATCTGACATTGTATATTTTAAACTTATGTTACTATTTGTAATGTTGACACTATAACATAAGAACAAGCTAGCATTTTACTAGTAATTTTCAAATTTTGAAAAGTGCTGAATGCCCATATCCCACTAAGTTCAGTTTATAATAGAACTTGAGGATGATCTATAGACTGATATTTATAATTCATACTGTAGCTTTTTCTACCATGGTAAATATTGTTTTAATTTTTTACTTTATTTTTTATGAGTAGATTTTACTTTAAAATTTTTATCAATAGGCATATTTTATTGATTAAACCAATTTTTTTTATATAATATGTCCTCAGTGACATCTAGTTAAGTAAACTGCATATATAGTAGGGCCTTTCTTAAATAATGACTCTTTAAAATTGATCAAGATTCAAAATGTGATGAGAATAATGTGGCAATAACAAGTGCCCTGTACTTGAGTTGACTGTCGATCATTCTCACTGTGACAGTAGATCAACATAAATTGTAAAAACAAGATTGATCCAAGTATATAAACTTCAGGCTATTACCTTAACTGGTCACAGAGATAGATGCGTGTTGATAATTTTTTAAAAAGTACTTATCTTTTTATTTTGATTTCTCTTTTTCTAAATATTTACTTAAAATTAGTTTCTCTGAATTCATTAGTAATTTAATAAAAATAAGGATTTAAGATGCAGTTGAAATGTTAATACTTTTAGAAAGTGTTCTAGAATGTAGATATAAATTACTTTTATACTCCTAAGTGTTTTTCAGAGAATCCTAAGTTCTGTGGGAAAAGGAAAAGAAATTAAGGTCTTGGAGAATTTTGTCACCTTCACCAAACTATAGTGTGGTTACACCCTGAGATCTTTATATTGTATATACAAATATATACAGCTCAGCTCTATCTGGGATTTTCCACTTCTCTCCCTCTCCCCCACCCCACTGCCCCTTTCCTTCATCTGCCTCTGCCATTAACATTCCACCAGTTGCCTCGATTCCCAGCACCTTTCATTTTCTCACTCTCCTCAATATCCCAGCACGGTATATTCCACCAGCCCACCCCTCTTGGCAGTTCACTTCAGCTGTGGATATCTCTTAACCTGCAGATCCCCATTCTTGGAGGCAGTACCTTCCTTTCACTCTTCACTGCAATTGTCAGCGTCCTTAACATTTTTCTATAAAATAATTTCTGATAAAATCATTAGAATAATGAAGTAGCTAATAGTGGGTGCCCAGCAGGAGTGGGATTCCACCAGTTTTGGCCAGTTCTATAGAACCCCTTGTTAATTTTCTAAGCAGTTCGGAGAACTGGTAGTCAGAAGAAATCTCCTTTTGTTTTTTCCCATCCTGATTACATTCTTGGCAGACAGCCTAAACTTACTGTCTCCAAAGGAGGTTTTTTTTTTCTTAAAAGGGAAGGATTGTTTTAAGCTATTTACACTGCTGTTTGGAGGAAATACTCCTCTGCAAATACTTCTTCTTGGATAGCTAGATGGATTGACATTCAAATGCGAGTTTACATACCCTTTCTGAGTTTTGGTCTAAAACTGTTTTTTTGGTGAAGTTTAATTCTGTGCTTGGTGACGTTTAATCCTGTGTTTATTGTTGGGATAATTTTCCCTATTCAGCTTTGTTTGGAAGGAAAAAGATTAATCTCTGTTCCTGAAAAGAAACTGGTTTGAGAAATCTGCTAGTTCCTGTGTCTATTTGTTCTGGTAATTGGTTTACAAGCAACAGCTACTGTTGTGATTTAATTATTTGTATTGTGTTTGAATTTTTTCCTGCCTCATGGTTTCTTTTTCTATCTGGGGAGGAGTTTTTCCTTCACTGCTTTAGTGGTATCTGGCACTGTCCTTTTGGGGTGTACTTCCAAGAGGCAGGATGCAAGCTTGGCACTGATTTTTTTTACTGCCTTTCGGGGGGGGGGTGTTTGTCATGTGACCTTTCCTTAAATCTGGATGATTTCCTTAGGATATCTTGTGAGATGAGTGAGACCATTGCAAAGAATTCCTGTCTTCTATTCAAACCTCATTCACGGTAGTGGGAACTTAAGCAGATCTTAGGTATTGAAGAATAGGGCAACATGTAACTGTCTTGCTTTACTCTTCCCTGTAAAAGTACTCCAGAATCCTCTGGGATTCTCTGGATCATATTTTGTCTGAAACCCTGGAATAAAACTTCCTAGCTTTTGTTTCTGCTGGACTAAAGCCAATTAAAAATAGTTTAGTAGTACCTCCGGATTCTGACAGTTTGTTCTGTGTTCAAAATAAAACATTTTTGACTTGTTATCTGGTGACCGTCATTTTCCTAATATTTAGGCTAGCTACTCCATTTATGCACTTATGCTGTTAGCTGTCTTATTTTCTTCTCCAAATCTTCAAAGGTTTTGCTATTGGTGATATGAGCAGTACTATTGCTGCTACTCACATCACCAGTAGGACAACCTTTGAAGATTTGCAGAAGAAAGTAAGACAGCTAAGGCAGCATTGCACATTCACTTGGAAACTTATCTGGATCTATTGATCTAACAGCAAGTATTGCAAGTGAGGAAATGAGCCAAAATGTAGCATTCTAGACAGTATAATTCAAACAATACAGCAATGATAAACTGAAAGATATGGAATTACTATTGGGACTCCCTTGCAAAATGCTTGCTAAGAGAAAAACAGTGTAGAGATGGGCATTATGATTGATCCTTGAAAAGTCACCACACATTTGGACCCCCACTACCAGCTAGGGCTTTCTACTCTGCAGAAAGTTGGACAAATAGGATTTAATCTGATAATATTATAATTTATTCAATATAATATCTGCTTTGGTCTTATATCTCAATTCCTTTCATTTTATGAAGCTTCCATAGATTGTTGTACAGGGAATTGCTTAGAACTAAAGTTATAAAGTAGTAATATTTGGGACATTGTTTTCTTTTTAATTTAACTAAATAAAAAACAAAGGAAAATAATTTATGAAATTATGACAGAAGAGGGGGGGGGGGAAGGATTTTAAAAGCTTCAAAACATACAGGGTATATCTTAGGTAGGCAGTGTTAGGGGTCTTTGCCCAAAGACTGGAAAGGTAATTACTAGATTTGAACCCTGGCCTCCTGCATCAAATGCAAAGGTGGTATTCAGCAGGTTCTGACCAGTTCTGGAGAACCTGTAGTGGAAATTTTGAGTACTTCAGAGAACTCGCAAATACCACCTCTGACTGGCCCTGCCCCCATCTATTCTCTGCTTCCTGAGTCCCAGCTGATTGGCTGGGTCTTCTTTTGTTGCCCTACATAGGAGAACGGAGCTAGAAAGCAGGTTGGTTGAGTGGGGAAGGAATGGAGATTTTACAGGATCCTTCCCCCGGAGTTGGGTGGGAATGGAGATTTTTGCAGTATCCTTCTCCTGCCACACCCACCAAGCCATGCCCACCAAGCCACGCCCCACAGAACTGGTAGTAAAAAAAATTGAATCCCACCACTGATCATATGGTGGTGTTCTAACCACTAAGCTGTCCAGCTGATTATTGAGTATATATTAATGAAAGGAAACAATAAAGTAGAGAAATGACGCAAATTTAACATCTTTTATTTTTCTGTGCCCCTCAGGAATCTTTCTTTAGATTCTGGCAGAATGCCTTATTGTAGCACCACCATCTTGTGGCCTATGAGGAAATACATCCTAAAAATAAACATCTGCTGCAGATAACCAGGTATTAGATTAGTTGGAGCTTTAACAGTGGAAGATTAATGTCTCAAACTGAATTCTTTAAATTTTTATCAACCTGTGCAGTTTTGGTTCAGAACTCCAGTCAACAACCTAACTGCTACAGTTAGAAACACTGTGATGAGGAGGGGAAACCCAAGAATTAGGCTCTTGTCCCCTGGTCAAAAAAGATTTCAGTAATAGAATATTACCAAAAGTGATCATGGGGGCTGTTTCTATGTGACTATTGCACTAACCACTGTAGAATTGGTGAACCATCACTGCTAACTATGAGCATTTGGGAGACAGTCTCCAGTTCCTAAAGTTGCTGCCAGAATTCAATAAGATGCAAGAGTGTGGACGTAATTTTCACGTTGCTCCAGTAATACATAAATTAGTGTAAAAGTCATCTTTAATTCTGTTGATTTTTTTCTGGAGGTCATTTTTTTTCTTTGAGTAGAAAGCTGCTTGTAAGATTTCCTAGTCTGGGCGACTAATTATAATTTTATATTTTGAAAGTTTCTTTATTACCGAATTTCTGGAGTATGTCTTTGTCTGTACTACATGGTTGGCTTTCCTCCAGCACTTGACATAAAAATGTCTTTAAGCATTTTTAATCTTTACCTATTGGCATCCCATTCATTTTATAGAACTCCTTCTTTATGGACATTGCATTCAACAGAATGCTCCCCAGCCTAAAATGTAATTTTTTTCTTTCTGTTCTCTTGCAATGTATTCTGGAGGTGTCATTCTTTTTCTTTCATATTCTATTTTTTCTAAACATCAAAATGTATCAGAATAAAAGACAAATGAACCATTAGCTGTTTGTTGCATTATAAACAATCATAAAGATTCTGAAATGTTTCCAGGAACCAGTATGCTCCCTTTTCCCCCAATACCAATTCATTATTGAAAGGCTAGTGTAGTAAATGACAGCCTCATGGACATTACAGTTGGTATTTCAAGGGTCTTGTAAACTATTTCTTATCTGATGTTTTTTGTCAGACTTGAAAAAAACTTGGCAAGGCTCTTTCTTGTCAGAGCTAATTAGTTGAAAGTAGCCTTTTATCTGTGAATAAACAGGATTCTTAGCTGAAACTTAAATAGATTATACTGCTGCCTTTGTCTTGTGTTTGCTTTCTTGGAACCAGGTTTGGGTCAGAACACATATAGTGTAAAATAGAGGGATTAGCTGATTTTTTTCCAGTTGTATATTAACACAGTGTTGATTGTATTGTTTTTTATGTCCCCTTTACAATAGGAGAGGCTCCTTTCAGAGCAATTATTAGGAGTGTACAGAATGAAAGAAGGGGAATAGTTTTGATCTGTAACTAGAGGGTATTTTTAATAAAAAAATAAAATTAGAAAGAACATTTAACTTTTTTCTTTATTTTCTTTATTCTCATTTCCTTAATTCTAGATCAAGTCTTCAATTATGCATGTCCATCAGCTTAGAATTAGAAAGTCTAACACATTTGAGAATACCAGATAGTGGAAAGCTAATTTACTCCCCTCCCCCACCATTAGAAAATTGAGGTTTTTTTTTCTGGGGGATTTCTTTTAAAGTTATATAGTGCTATACTATAAAGAAAATAAATGCTAGGATCAATGAATAAAAACTTTTTAGCTCATAACCAGGTTCACAGGACTGAAGCTGAGGCTAGTCTGCCTGCTGTAACTTGTTTTAGTTTTGAATTTTATAAATTAGCAGTCTCCCCCAAATCATGCAGTGACTCACCCTATAATTTCTGGATCACAGGTTCTTTCAGAAGAGAAATCAAGAGGTTCCTTTTGCCTTCCTTTTTCCATCTATGGCTGGATCAGAGCATCTTTTTGTCCTCATTTTGTAGTGCAAGAGCATACAAATTCCAGCATTTTTTCCACTCTCTTTCAGCACATCAAGAGTGAGGTTGCTAGAATCAGAATTTTCTGGAGGTATGCTCTTAAGATTACCTGTGAAGGTTCAGGAGTGACTCTGGAATTTGACCAATTTCATACATTCATAGTTAACTTGCTAAGCACTGGGCCAACCAAACCCTGACAAACCTCAAAATAGCTTTCCATTTCCTGGCTATACCCATCAACTAATAGATAAGAGATACTCTTATAGCAAAATGAAAGAATACAATCTTGTAGTTTACAGTGGCCCATTTAAATCCACATATAAATGAATGTGTGTGTGTGTGTGTATGTGTGTATTGTTTACAAGCAAGATCTCATATGGCATAACATTAAATAGAATCTTAATGATTTGGACATTTCAAAATGTCTGGCTTATTTTATTTTTTCCCCACAATATTTTTTCAACAATTTCTGTTGAAAATTTTGTTTATAGTGAATAGCAATAGGGGTTTTTTTGGTAGTAAAAGTGAGTACACACTAAACAGAAAGAAAGTATATAAAGTCCAAGGGAAGAAAACAGAAAGATAAAACAGATAATTTTTTAAAGAAGTGACTAATGATTGTGAGATGATCTTGGAGTCCTAGTGGACAATCACATAAATATGAGCCAACAGTGTGCTGTACCTGCTAAAAAAAAAAGCCAGCACTTAGGCTGCCTTAACAGAGGGATAGAATCAAGATCACATGAAGCATTAGTACTATTTTAAATTGCCTTGCTAAGACCACACTTGGAATATTGCATCCAATTTTGGTCACCATGATATGAAAAAGATGTTGAGACTTTAGAAAGAGTGCAACAAAGCTGATTAGGTGATTGGGGCTTAAAACATATGAAGAATAATTGCAGGAATTGGTTATGTCTAGTTTAATGAAAAGAAGGGCTAGGTGCAGTGGTGGGATGCAACTGTTTTTTACTACTGGTTCTATGAGAGAACACTTTGCGCGCATGCGCAGCAGCCAAAAACCACCGATTTTTGAGCTTCAAACAGCTGAGGTGCAGCAATCCGCTCTGCCATGAGAATCAGCTGAGTTCAAAAACAAGGAAATAAAAGACAGGAAACTGCTCATTGGCACTACCGGTTCGCTAGAATGGGTCCGAACCAGCAGCATCCAATCACTGACTAGGAGTGACATGACAGCGGTGTTGCAATATCTAAAAGGCTGCCACAAAGAAGAAGAGGAAGCGGCAGCAGCAATGGATAGAAACTAATCAAGGAGAGAACCAACCTGACAGAACAATTAATCAGTGGAACAGCTTGTCTCCAGAAGTTGTGAGTGCTCCAACATTCTGAAATGTATAGAGCCTCCTTCTTGAGGAGGGGGTTCGACCTCCGAGATCCCTTCAACTCTGTTTTTCTGTTATTCTATAAGTATTTTATAAACCACCAGTGAAACAAAATGGCTGTATGTATAGATACAAATGCACACAGCAATTTCCAAAACTTGCAAATGATATGGTTGTTTTATATGTATTCCTATACATTGAAAATAATATCTTTCAAGGCTTTGCCCAATTTTTCTTCTAACAATGGAATCTGGTAAAATTAATGAATTGTAACTTTTGAAATGTCTGTCTCTTGAGGAAAAAAAACCCAACACTTTGCATCTCTAAGTGTTTTTTAGTCTTTTTTCCTCATCTTCTCCGCTTCCTTTTGTTATGTATTCCTTTCACTTTGAGTTCTCTGGGTTTTTTTTAGTTTTCTTTTTTTTCTTGTTTTTTTCTTTCTTTCTCTTGTTTCTTTCCTCTAGTTATATCTTTGCATCCCTTTTAATGCTTATTTCTCTAATACACAAAGATACTAGGAAGAATTTCATTAGTAATCTGATGAAACATTAGAACTAGTAATATATATACAAACTGCTGGATAAATACAGATAGTCCTTGAACTTATGACTACAATTGAGCCCAAAATTTCTGTTGTTAAGTGAGACATTTGTTAAGTGAATTTTGCCCCATTTTACAACCTTGCTTGCCTCAGTTAAGTGAATTGTTGCAGTTGTTAAGTTAGTAACACGATTGTTAAGTGAAGTAATGGACTTTGCTTGTCAGAAGGTCACAAAAGAGATCACATGACCCCAGGACACTGCAACCATCATAAATATGAACCAGTTGCCAGGTGTCCGAATTTTGATCACATGACTTTAGGAACACCACAATGGTTGTAAGTGTGGAAAACGGTCATAAGTGACTTTTTTCAATACCATTGTAACATTGAACAGCACTAAATGAACTGTTGTGAGGACTGTCTGTACTTCAGCTTTCTGTTATCAGTAAGTGAAAGAATTTGTCATAATTTAGCACATGATGTATAATATTAAGGCGATGTGAACTATAATTTTATATAAGTTTTAATGTATTGTTTTCCTAAATTTAGTATTTGTAGTGTGTTTTGTTTTAATTGGCTTAAATGCTTACAGTGAGAAGAAGCCAAATAAATGCAACTTGTAAATTTGTATATGACCGTGCAAAGTTGCATTATAAGTTACTGATTGCTACTTAATTGTGACATTTTATGTTCTGAACCTAATTATTTCTAGAGTCATTCACAGGGCATGAGGTTTTTAAAAAAAATCAAGATGACAATCCTAGTGGTACAATTGAAGCTCAACACATTTTAGCACAGAACATGAAACTTTGATCACACTGTCATGTAATATTGATTTTTGGTACAATACCCTTTAGGTACTTTTTCTAAAATGTGGCTGCCAGGTTCAGGGGGCAGTACATCACCGAAAGCGTGCCCTTGATAATGTTCCCAAAAGATGCAGGATGTTCTCTGGATTATCCTCATAGCAAGATGAGTTACATCACATGAGAAGCTTACTATGAGTTCTGATGAAGTGGGGACTACTGGTTTATTTATTTGTTTGTTTGTCAAACGTACAAAATAGCAAGTATAAGTATGAACATAAACAAGAACAAAGGAAGTAAATACAGATAAATGGGGACAGTAAGACAGGGACGGTAGGCACGCTGGTGCACTTATGCACGCCCCCTTTAAGGACCTCTTAAGAATGTGATGAGGTCCACCGTTTAGATTTGAGAGTTACTCACTACCCATATTAGAAAATTCACTTCAGTGAGACATTAAGACATTAATAACATATGTCAATACATGAATCCTAAATCTTTACATTTAAATCTAAGCCCACACTCATATGCACTAAAATCTTACCTAAATGAACACAGTAAAGGATTTTTAAGAGAATAATTGGCTACATTTCTGAAAATTCCTTTCTCTCTTTTTGTGACCAGAGAGTGTATACATGTCAGCACATGAATTATTTTTATCTTTTTCTTAGTTTGATTGACTTGTGTCATTAGGAAGATACGCAGAGATACTGAGGGCAGCATGACTTGTGACAGGGTCTTCACCCCTAACAGCTTTGAAGGCATGTTTTCCTCCTGGTAAATTTTATTTAATGAGGCATGTAGAAGCAATAGGTTGTAAACAGGCATGCTCAGAGACATTTCAGTTCTGTCTAATGCAACCGAGATGATATATGAGTGGTTCTTTTAGTATGCCTCTTGCCTGACCCAACTAGAAAGGCCTGATGAGTTGTTTTTTCCTAAAATGTATCTTGTCAAATTTCCTGTCACTTTTATGGGGTCATGTTATGAGCTGTGATAATTTCTCCTATTTTGATGTTTTAGGAATAAATAATGAAATCAAATTCAGTGGCATCAAGCAAAACTGGTTAGGAAAGTCTGGGGGAAAAAGATGCAGAACATAACTATGAAAAGATTAATGGATAAATAACTGAAAAAGCAGTTACAGCCCTTCCACCGCATATGAGATATCTCTTCTTATATACTAACTCTCCCATCCTAAAATATTTCTTGAGTTACAATTCAACCTATAAATATACCACAATGTCTGAATATCTTTGCTGCACCCTTGTTGCTTCCATAGAGTATTTGACTAGGAATGTCTTCTATTGCCAATAGTTGATCCCAAAAGGCAAAAGCTATCCAACACTTTACTTTATACATACATCTACACATATGGACATATTATATAAGTACAGTATAAGATCTGTCTTTGGTTATATTAGGTCATTCCATATGCTGTTCCAGTCTTAGCATATTCCACATCTCTTCTTTGTTCTATATCATATGGTGAGCTCTGTGAGGTGTGTCTAGGGCAGCATCTCCTCTTTGGGATGATCTTTGCCCTCAAATTAGATGGAATCCAATTCTAATAGCCCCTTGGAAGGCATCAAAAACTTGGTTTTCTCCCTGTGAATTTGGACTTGGTAGTTATATGTTCATGCCATCAGTGATGCTTATTGGATTTTATGAACATACGTTTTGCCTTACCTCCATTATTATTGATGATATTATATTATTTTAATATAATGATAGCCATCCAGAATCACTGGCGATTTATATGGATAGTCATATAATTTAAATCTCATTAATTACAGCATAGCCTTGGTTATAATTTTGTTTATTATAATTTCTTTTTTTCTGAACTTTCACAAAATAAGGAATTGCTTTTACATGTCAAGTAGACATACATGAATCATTTTATAATGAAGATGAATCTAATATACTTTGTTTCTAAAATATATAATACTTAATTAACAGGTTTCCATTGAAAATGAAATATAATAAAATTTAAAATATTGACGGAACTTTTTGAATGCATTAATGAAGAAAAATGTGTGAAAATTGTACATCCCATATTTAGTGATAATAATTCAGTATTGCATTTAGTTGTTTCCAGTTCATAGTTTATGTTTTAAGGTTAATGCAGAACTTATCTGGGATTTACAGATTGAAGCAATGCAATACAGTTGTATGGAATCATTTTCCACAGTTTACAATTATTTGTTTGCACAATAGTAGCTAAATAATGGATCTTACTTCTTCAGGTAGTCCTTGAATTCTAATGGTAATTGGGAATGGAATTTCTGTTGCTAAATGATTTGGCAATAATGCACAATGTAATTGCATCATTTAGCAACAATAATCCCAGCACTCCCTGTTGCTATTGTTAATTAAATACCACTGGTCATTAGGTGAGGACCCCAGGTCTCTACTTTAGCCTCAAAGGGTAGAAATTGAGAGAGGAGATAGGCAGGTGGGCAGAATTCAGGGGTTCCTTCATCTGCTGTGAAATGCCTAAATGTTGATGATATGACCACAGGGGTTCTGCAATAGCAGTAATTTTGAGAACCAGGTATATGTACCATTCAGTCAGCACCACTGCAACTTAGAACAGTCACTGAATGAATGGTTGTAACTTGAGGACTATTTGTACTTATGTGAAAAACCCACCTCTCAGTATTCATTTTATTTAATATAAAATGCCTATATTAAATGTTAACTTAGGGTGCATTTGTAAAGTATTAACATACAAAACAATAAAATGCTCTCTATAAAAAAAATCTATAATTTTATTTTTATGTTTTTCCATTCTACAATAGGTACGGAATGATCTAACTGGAGTTCTATATGGTGAAGATATTGAAATATCAGATACAGAGAGTTTTTCTAATGATCCTTGTACAAGTGTCAAAAAGCTTAAGGTAGGTGCAACTTTTTGCCAAGTTCAAAAAAACTAACTGCGTAGCAAAAAAAAAATACTGTAGCTTAAAATAAGCAATTTTAATAGGTCTCAGTTTGGAAACTTGCTTTTAGGTTTTGGTATTTATGGTAGTTGCTATTATAGTCATGATATAAAATAATTATATTTGATATTAAATTCTGTAATAACACAGAAATGTAATTAGCAAAGTTAACACCAGGTTGCCAGCAAAATTATATGTAATGGGACCAAGAATGCTTTGTGTGCTACACATTTTTACAAATTCAGTTTCTTTTTCTTTCAAAAATTGCAAAACAATATCAGGTACCAAATTTTGTTGAAGTATAAAGACAGTCATGATGACAGTCATATTCCAAAATATCTGGAACACTTTCAGCACTATAAGGTCCACAACATAATTAACCATAAATGTTAAATATGTTTAAGCTGCCTGTTTATTATATATTGGCTTTCATATTTTTCTGTCTGTTTGCACTGTCCATGTCTCTGTTGTTATCATTTTTATGATAATGAATGTTATATGCTGTCCAAATGTTAAATGGGTAATATTTGTAATATTCATTTTTAACACATTTGCCCTTAAGGATTGACCAGAGGTAAGAAATAAAGGCTCCCTAGTAGGAAGCAGAAATTATTCCAGTTGACTGACACTTTATTCCCCAGTACACTTTCCTAAAGAAAGAAATAGGGCATACAAATCAAAACTCTTAATGCTATTTATAACTTTTTTTTTGTATGGGGGGCTTCTCTGCAAAGCATAGATATCAATCTGCTTTGTATGTTATATATTATTGGGAAACCCAAGATGTATGAACCTCAGTGACCAAATGTACGCCTTCTGTTTAAGGCATTTTGATGTACACAGTATTTTTCAGTCATGTTAATTTGCTCAGATAAATGGGATAACTTTTGAAATTGGTTTTGAAATTGTAAATTAACCTTAGATGGGAGTGTATCTCATCTCATTTTTTAATTTGAAGCTTTTCAGAAGATGGAGCCATAAATATTAAGATGCTGTATTTTTGTCTGCATCTTTCTCTGTGTTATTATCTGTGGATTTTTTGACAGGCTGTCATCAGAGAATGTAACAATTGCTACTACCTCTAACCTTTGACCCCTGCTCCTCACAAAGCCTAACATTATTTTTCTGGCATGACTGCCAAATACAGTCTCTGTATAACATGAATACTAACATTCCTGATGGCTATTATTAATGATGATAAAATAACATTCCCACTTGAAATTTCTTCAACTATTTGGAACATTTCCTCCTTTTTCTCTTTCTTTCTAAATTTTAAGAATAAAATTGACAGTATTAGAAGGTGCCCAGAATCTAGCCTTACCATTTTCAGTATACTTCTAGGAACAGGAAACTGCTACAATTAGAAATTAAGAAAACAGATTGAATAGGTTTTTCTTCTTATAATGAACTCCCACTCCATTTTCAGGAACTTTATAAAGTAATCAAACTACCTAATCAAGCTAGTATTGCTGAACCTGGATTAGTACTAAAAATAAATTAGAGTAGCAATGAATGGGAAATTGTACCTATTGGTCCACATAAAGAACTGCAAACTGATTATTTAGAGAGGATAACTGAAACTTAAACTGTTTTATTTTTAGAAGAAACTCACTAAAAAGGAATCAGAATAACTCTTGAGTATGGTACTGTGATCCTAAGCATATTACTTAGAAGCAACTCTTAATTGTTTCTATGCTTAGAACAGGGGTTCCCCAAAATGGTCAGTGTCATCCCTCAAAGAGTCAACGTTATTATAATTTCTTACATAGTCAGTCAAAGGATAGCCAGATAATATTATATAATAATATTAAATATATTGTTGCAGAACGTAAGCTGTTCCAAGTACCCTTTTCAAGGCCATATAACTTTGAGGATTACCTGTACTAAATTCTATTTCAGTCTGACCGAGTTAACATATTTCATAGCATGAAGGAGAATCTTCCTGAATATCTATTTATTTGTTTGCCTATTCCCATCTTTCAAACACAAATGCCTTTTGCAAAAGCCTTTCACAAATTCATTGAAATGAATTCCAATAAAATACAATTATTAAAATATTATTGAAGTATAACTATTTCATATCTGCTATGTATTAGAGAAGCACTGAATTTTAGTGATAAAAACAGAAAATTATTTTCAATCAAGTTTGGTTTGCCCTTGGAAACATTAGAGTATAATTTTTCCTTTTACAAAACTAAAAATTGATATGTAATTTTAGAAAAAAACAATAGAACATGTTGTTCCTTTGCATTGCTATTTTATGTATCAGAAGAAAAGGCATAACTGGATTTTTGTAGGAAAGATTTTTGATGTTTTCTCTTCTGATTCGGAAAATGAAATAACTTTTATTGATGATACTCTTTTATCTATTTGCATGATGATCAACTAGAAGTGAAGGTACCCAGTTTCCCTGCACACCAGAAAATAATTCATGTTGATACTTTTAAAATCCAGTGTATAATAAGAGGCATATGCAAAATATTCTCTTTTAGTATATATCAAATTATCAACAATTTCATTTACTTCTGTGCTTAGATTCAGTTTCATAAGAGGTTTATGTAATTAACCTGGCATTGTATCATTAACAAAATATGAATACATAACCCTTTTCCACATCTCTGTTAAATTTAGCGCCCACATCTTTATTAGTTAGTTATTAGTTAATTAGTAGTATGAAACTGCACTGGTTCAGAGCATCTATGAATGATATAGTCCTATAGCCTTCTTGAAGCATTTTTATAAAATTACAATGATGATGATTTCTTTGCCTGACATGTAATAATCACACAAGAAGACCAGTCTCTATTTATAATTACTACACCTCATTATATATTAATGTTATTGTTTCTTAGCAATAGTTTACTGCTATATTTACATCCTCTAGGGTACATGTAGCACAGAAATTTGTTGACTGAAAATGTGTGAGGGGTTTTGCTATGTACAACAGCTTTTGAGCAATACAAATGAAAATGTCAATAATTAATATCTCTTCTTTTTTCCTTTGCAGGGAAATGACGTTAGAATTATCCTTGGCCAGTTTAATGAGGAAATGGCAGCAAAAGTGTTCTGTTGTGTAAGTGAAAAAAGAAAAGAGATAAAGAAAATTTTTGTCATATATCCCAATGGTTAAATTAATCAATTCTTAGCTCATTTAAATGTTTAATATTTATAAGCACCTCTGGGAACATTTATTGTACAGTGTAGCAGAATTTCCTTAAAATTTCTTGGTTTGATATATCTGTAATATTTTAGCTTGATCCAGTGGTGGGATTCAAATAATTTAACAATCAGTTCTCTACCCTAATGACTGGCTGGGTGGGCATGTGACTGGGTGGGCGTGGCTGGGTGGGCATGGGACTGGGTGGGCGTGGCTGGGTGGGCATGGGACTGGGTGGGTGTGGCCAACTCAACATCACTTTGCCCTAATGCCTGTTTGAAGTATAAAAAAAGATATACCAAAATGTAGTTTATTTCATGCATTTAATACTTAAATAAGAACAATTAAAAAGGTACACAAAAGATAGATTTTGTTATAAGAAACGGTTTTAAAATATTAATGAAAAACTATTAGATAATACTTGGCAAAAAAAAACCAATAAAACTGTTATTTAAGGTATTTCCAAATTGCTGTTTTATTGGTGTCCTCACTTGCACTTTTCTTGACTTTTACTTGAGCATCATCAGTTGTGTGATGTGCTCTCAACCATTTATTGACTGTAGGAATAGGGTCCCATTCTTGTAGAGGTAGGCCAATAAGACTAATAATCATTAGGTTTGTTATATTGGAAATAGTTAGGCAACTTCTCTCTGAACATATGATGTTCATTTGCGAAAAAACCCTTTCTGCTTCTGCTGAGCTTACAGCAATTGTTCTGACAATTTTAACTTTTTGAATACTGTCAGGAATTTCATATTTCTGGAAATTTTAAAAAAACGTTTGCTACGAATAGAATAGAATAGAAGAAGAGAAGAGAAGAGAAGAGAAGAGAAGAGAAGAGAAGAGAAGAGAAGAGAAGAGAAGAGAAGAGAAGAGAATACTTTATTGGCCAAGTGTGATTGGACACACAAGGAATTTGTCTTGGTGTAAATACTCTCAGTATACATAAAGAAAAGATAAAAGGAAACAGTCAATATAAATTTTAAGTATACAAGTGACAAAGTTACAGTCATACAGTCACAAGTGGGAGGGGATGGGTGATAAGGAGTGATGACAAGATTAATAGTAGTGCAGACTTTGTAATAGTTGAACAGGGTTGAGGGAATTATTTGTTTAGCAGAGTGATGGCTTTCTGGAAAAAACTGTTCTTGTGTCTAGTTGTTCTGGTGTGCAATACTCTATAGCGTCATTTTGAGGGAAGGAGTTGAAACAGTTTATGTCCGGGATGTGAGAGGACTGTAAATATTTTCACAGCCCCTTTTTTGACATGTGCAGTATACAGGTCCTCGATTGAAGGCAGATTGGTAGTAATTGTTTTTTCTGTAGTCCTAATTACTCTCTGAAGTCTGTGTCTGTCCTGTTGGGTTGCAGAACCAAACCAGACAGTTATAGAGGTGCAGATGACAGACTCAATCATTCCTCTGTAGAACTGGATCAGCAGCTCCTTGGGCAGTTTGAGCTTCCTGAGTTGGTGCAGAAAGAACATTCTTGGTTGTGCTTTTTTGATGATGCTTTTGATGTTAGGTGTGCATTTTAGGTCATGTGATATAGTAGAACCTAGAAATTTGAAAGTTTCTACTGTTGATACGGTGTTGTCTAGTATTTAAGAGGTGGTAGTATGGGAGGGTTTCTTCTAAAGTCTACCACCATTTCTACTGAGTGTGTTCAGTTCCAGATTGTTCCAGTTACACCATGAGGCAAGTTGTATAACCTCCTGTCTGTATGCGGATTTGTCATTGTCTCAAATGAGACCAATCACTGTTGTGTCATCAGCAAACTTCAGTATTTTAACAGATGGATCATTTGAGGTGCTGTCATTGGTATATAGGGAGAAGAGAAGTGGAGAAAGCACACAGCCTTGGGGGCCCTGTGCTGATTGTACAGATATCAGATGTGATTTTTGCCTAGCTTCACCTGCTGTTTCCTGTCTGTTAGGAAGCTCGATGATCATTACTATTAATTTGGTACTTTAAAAATGTCACTAAATTCAAGCAAATGTTCTTTAGCTTCTTTCTATGGAACTACACTTCTTCAATATTCCAGTAATCTGGCTCCAAAAAAATTGAGAAACTTTAATTTATTTGTGTCTTGAAATTGGCTACCTGTTTTTAAATGTTCACAATCCATTAGTCTTTTATTCAAATTTGTTATGATGCTTTCTAAAAGTCTTTCCTGAGGAAGCACAGCAAATCAATGATTTTCTATAAATTTTATATTTTTTAGGCTTCTGAAATAATTATTCCATCAATTTTTTTTGTATGCACCCTTTTCATTTCTAAGCATTTCAAATGCTTTAGTTGATCTTATCACAAGCTTTTCAGCCTTTATGATGTCTACATTTCTTTTTGCAGTGCATTTGAAAGAAGAGAAATTTCATTTAGAATATTGATCATCATTGCCAAATCAGTCATAAAATATATATTTTCAAGACAGGCAGCCATAAGTATTTTTCATTTGAATGAAAATAGTAATGTAGCACTGGATAAGCACACCACACAGCTAGGGTTGACCTTAAACTACAGGCAGCCCATCTTGGTCCCAAAACTCTACCAATCTTTGTAATTTCAATTTCAAGTTGTTCAGATATTTGATAAGTTCAATTTGGTTCTTATTGGATTGATGAAAAATAGTATATATCTCATCAATATTTTTAAATGATTTGCTTGATTTATTTCCTTTATCAAATCGTCTAAAACAACTTTCCATAACTGAAGAACAGATTGTCTCTGCATTTTGTTTTTCCAATTCAACTATCTCAAGAATAGTCCCTAATGGAATGCTCTCTCTATAGCAGAGAGAAGCCAGGGGAAGTCATGTTTAGTCACCTAAGCTTTTTAGACTTTTCATCTTAAAAATGTACTGAAGCTTTTTACACCATTGTTCATTTTATTTCAGCAGCTGCTTGTTTTCCTAGGATTCACATTATTTTATCTTTATGAATGCATGCTTTAGCAGTTGCTTTGCAATGAGAAAGATCTCACTGGTGTGGTAAATTTTTAAAAGACTGGGGGATTTTCCCCCAACACAATGGGGACAAACAAAAGAGATATAGTACAAAATCATCTAGGAAGTTAGATCAAGAAGAATGTAATTCATAGATACATTCACAGAGCAATACTGAATTCTTTTTCTGAAATTTATTCCTCAGTTTAAAAAACAGGAACATATGAATTAGGTTCAGGATTGGGCTCAGCTTGTACTCAAGTCAAGTAGCTATTCAAGAGTTAATAGTGTGATGGTTAGGAAAAATGGTAAAGCAACATATAGATTTAAAACCAGAAATATTTTTGTTGGGTATTTTACCAAATAAATATAATAAAGGGAATACATATTTAATTTTACACGTGTTAACAGAGGCTAGAATTACGTTTGAAGAGATCCCTATAGATGAAAATGTAATTTAAAAACATTAGAATGTGCAGAAATAGAAATGCAGAAAATTAACACTTAAAATTAAGGAGAAGAAAGAAGGAAGAAACTGAATACTTTTTAATGTGGGATTTGTTTTATCAATGGCTAACAGAAACAGATGTTAGAAATCTAAAAGTGTAAAAGAAAAGACCAATTTTATAAGGAAAGTTCACTAAAATGGATAAGCAAATATTATTAGTTTGTGATCATTATTAATGTTATAAATATTATTGTCGTTATCATTATTTCACAAAATTATCTGTACCCAGACAACACACCATGTAGATATTGAATTTTTAATGCTTATTTTTTAAAAAAGCAACTTACAAAAAATTAGGCAAAAGCGGGCAAGCTTGCTGCGCCACATGGGAGACAGCTAGGCTGGGATTTGGGCCTTGCTGCTTGCAGGCTCACCCAGGATGCCAGGAATATCAGGGCAGCTCAGCTGGGCCGCGTGGAGAGTGCTGCATGGGATGCAACTGAAGGTAGGCAAGCTGGCTGGCCCTCAGAGTTCGTGTGGTCAAGGCAAACCAAGGAGCCAGACAGAGAGCCGTAGCAGCTATACTGGGTGAGCGGATGAGATGAGAAGTGACTGGGTAGGGCAGGACAGGACCAGCCAGTGGTGGGATTTGCCGGTTCTCCGAATTGTGTAAAATCGTAACTATAAGTTTGCCCAAACTGGTCCGAACCAGCTGAATCCCACCACTGGCTTGATCTGAGTGCAGATAGAAAATGGTTAGAGTTAGAATGTGAAGGCTGCATTAATTGAATATATACAAGTACAGTGCTGCTTTTGTTGGGAAATCTGATGTTAAGGTGGATCTGATATAGCATTAGCATTTAGACTTACATTCTGATCCATAGTGCTTTACAGCACTCTGTGAGCAGTTTACAAATGCCAGCATATTGCCCCAACAATCTGAGTCCACATTTTAATGACCCCAGAAGGATGGAAGACTGAGTCAACTTTAACCCTGTCAGGATTGAAATCCTGGCTGTGGGAAGAGTTAGCCTGCAATACTGCATTCTAATCACTGTGCCACCAGACTCCTGTGTGTCGATTTTGGTAAAGGCCAAACACTATCTGAAAATTGGAAGAAAAATTAAATAAACATGCATTTGAATAAATACTGTATATAAAGTGTCTAAATCTGGCATAGCAGATTTAAAGGCAGGGGAAAAAATCAATAAATTATTCAGTCATTTATAATGAAGTGTTGAATAACTGTTAAAAAGTTTATCATGAGTCTTTCCATTTAGTTACAAGTGAAATTATCTTTTACTCTTCTTTTTTTGTAAATCTTATAATGACATTCTCAGTAGAAATATATTCCAAGTGTCCATAGATTAAGCCCCATGTCTGGATAAATCAAACAACTGGATAACTCTTTTTTCTTAGAATCTAAGAAAACAAGCTGATTTTAAATGATTTCCTAATTTTGGTTTTAATTTTGAATTAGGACTTACCAGGAAGGTAAGTCTTACTTAGGAAGGCTACATCAAATATGCAGCAACAAGGATAATAAGTTGAAGCTATATGTTTGATGCAAATTAACTTGACACTATTTTATAATTACATAACTTTTAAAGCTAAATACACAAAACATCAGTAGAATACTTTTGTCATATGTCTTATACATTCCACTAATGAAATTGTTTCTTTTCATTCCCATTTCTATTGTAGGCATTTAATGAAAAAATGTTCGGCCCTAAGTATCAATGGATAATTCCTGGGTGGTATCAGAGCTTTTGGTGGGAAAAAGCTATCCCAAAGCTGAATTCATCACACTGTCTTGGTATAAACCTTCTGGGTGCAATGGAAGGTTACATTGGAGTGGATTTTGAACCTCTCAGTTCGAAACAAATAAAAACCATTTCTGGACGGGTAAGTTAGTTTATTGTCTTCTGTTTGGGGCATTTGAAATAATCCATCAAAAATATTGCATTTCTACTGCATTGATTTCTTGCCATAATACATTGTAACCCAGTCCTAAAATTAATACACTGTATCTATATAAATGTAAAAATGAGAATTGGGCATAATTCTTCAAGTAGGAATATCAGGGTTGGCATTATATTTCCATAAATTGGAGAGATGATATTGAAGGCCATGTGGGAGAAATAAAATATATAAAATAAGATATAAAAGGTTATACAATTTTCTGATAGATAGCTGTCTATTATCTGTGCTGGCATGCTTAAGTGCAGTAGTCTGAGATGGACTGTTTTGTTCAAGTGTAAAGTGAGAAGCCTGTCAACTCTGGAGCCTGTGCACTCTCTGTATGCCTATAAGGCATTTCAATTTTTGTGGTGAGCCATTCCCTGCACAAAAGTGAACAGTTAACTATTAATAATTAAGATTATTATTAGTACTGTACTAATAATACTGATTATCAATAATATTACTGTATCCACTCTGGAAGACTTTTCTAAAATGGAATTTTCCATATAAATAGAACAAGGAAAGAACATTGCTTGCTTCTGTAAAGAGATTTTAAGTAATTAAAAGATACTAAAAGATAAAGGAATCCCATGTGTTTGAAGTGTTGGAATGGGGAGAGTGATAGGACAATTTTCTCAGCAATGGAAATAGGGAAATATTTCCAAATAGAAAAATAGAGGAACTGCGAAGTTTATAAGGGGAAAAAAAAGATGAATGAAAGTCTTATGTTTGAAGACCTTTGTGTGCACATGAAAAATTGGAGTTTCTATCAGATCATTAATAAACATAAACCATTAGTTTAAACTCAATGAATTTCATCAGGCAGTAGTGTCCAAAAAAAAAACCAACAACACATAATGAAGCTCTTACTCATTTGATATTTAATATAATGAATACTGTTTAGAATTTCCAATATCCACTTATTGAATTGACATGAAAATGTGAGACTCTCTGCAGGATGACCAGTATTGCAGATTTGTAGTACGAATGATTTGCTCAAAAAATTGCTAGGCTACCACAATCTTTGTCTGCCAAGTTCTAAAAAAAATTTCAAGCCTTATTGCCAGAAGTCTTCACCTTCAACTAAGCTCTAGAAAACATAAAAATATAAAGCCTAGGAAAGTAAAGACTCAATAAATTGTGTACCTAACAGCAGACGGAATGGCTTACGATTGTGCAGTCCTATAGTTTGTAGAATAAATTTAATCTGTATTATGAACAATATAGTTTATTTTTTATTGTAGTCACCATAATAGGATCCCTAAGGTTACCAATCTTTCAAGGAGAAGCTGGTGCCCCTGTCAACAGCTGCTGTCTATAACGAAGAATTTAGAGACGGTGTTTGCCAACTTATCTGAGAAGAATATTGCTCACTAACAGTTATAGAATCTAATGTAACGTAATGTAGTTTCAGCTCTTTGAAGTATCCCAGGTCAATACATGTACATCACAAATATTCCAGAAATGCTAGTCTATTGTTGTAGAGTATACTAACATCCCCTTTAAAACCTTTCCAAATTTCTTGCTGTCCCAACTTATATTAAGGAAATGAAGCTGTGGCTGTTTTGAATTTCTTTCTCAGGCTTCTTTTAATATTTGGAATGTATAATTCTATGTGTAATTTGGGGTACATTTGAGGGTAAAAGCAAATTACAGAATTTTTTTTGATAACACTGAAAAGGAAGAAAGCCAAAATATAAATCTTTGCTCATATATACTGCTATTTTTTATTGTTATTTGCAGCACATTGTTTTACTGCAGCTTGATCTCATGAATTTCTGTGCAACTAACTATTCCATGAGATATAATCTCTAAACTAGCTCTGAAAGCAATTTTATTTTATACAAGTGATAAGGAAGAAAACCAGACACATGAATCTGCATGACTAGCGGCTTTTTAGATAAATATGGGATATTTGACTGTGTACATCTGTCTTAATTCAGGCAGGTATGCTTTACCAGCTAAAAAACAACTTAAAATATATATTTGTTGAATATTACAGTGCAAAATGTACTCATACATAATAAAAATGCTTAGTTATGTACCGAATCTTAGGCAAAGAGAATAATACCCTGTTTTTTGGCACTAGTGAAAAATACTTATGAGTATCTTATGCAAAACTCACCCTTTTAGTTCCAATATCATGGTATAACTAAACCTGAAATGCACACATGTAGTTCCCTAATTCCATCTCTTTCTCTTGTATATTTTAGCCCCTCTGCTAAGTTTGGAGTGTAACTATTTATATAACATGTATGCATTTGGTGGTACCATATAAATAGTAAAATAGCGCATTTATATAAATAATAAAATATTGCATTTACCGGCCTTGTATTTCTCCCCTTGATTATTTTTTTTTGAGATTCATATAACTTCAAAGAACTTACAAAAAAATAACTGTATTTCACTTTCAGACTGTATGGACTTTTAATATACTAAAACTGAATAACTTTTTACATTTTTTTCTACAGACACCACAGCAGTATGAAGAGGAATATGATCAAAGACGTGGAAATGTTGAGCCAAGTAAGTTCCATGGCTTTGCTTATGATGGAATATGGGTAATTGCCAAAACACTGCAGCAGGCAATGAAGATTCTTAATGCCACCAACAGAAACCAAAAAATTGAAGACTTTAACTATACCAACAAAGAACTTGGAAAGATTTTCTTGGATGCAATGAATCAGACCAGCTTCTTTGGCGTAACGGTAAGCTTGCCTAATTTCTTTTACTTAAAGTTTGTAACTAATTTTTCTCAACAATAATTGATATACAGTATTATTAAACAGAAAACAGCACATTTACTATAGGATGATGTTCTGCTAACAGGAAGGAACAGTTTAAAAGCTTGGAACATAAAGTTGAGCTGAGAGTTAGGACTGCAGCAGAGCCAATAACCAAGAAGATTGGACTGATGAATAAGCAGAAAGAACTTGGAACCGTGAGAATTTCAGTGTGGAAGTATGAGAGGAAATTAGAATGTTTTTCTTGAATAGTTTTTAAAGTTTGTGATTATAAATCTCTGAATTGCTGTTTAATCTAATTTCCATTAAGCATAAAATAGATCTATAAGATGCATTTTGTGTAACAGAAGTATTGAATGTCTAAGATAATAGAAAATGAAAAAATAAATTGAAAAACTATTAAACACTACTAAAGGAGCCACAATTGATTAAAGCTTCCTACTTAGGGGAAAATAGGTAGAATTTTGCAGTAGGCAAATAGATCTTAGCCATCTGATGGGAAACTGTCCTCAGTTAATCTTACTCTATTTTATGCTATTTTGATCCCTCTTTAAGGGCAAGTCAATTTAACTAGACTTGGATGTATTTAGACAGGAGTGGTTTTGTAAATCCTATTTTAGGAATTCTGTATTCATTCCTAAATCTTACACATTTACTTAAGAATTTTATATAGCCACCTTAACAAATAATTCTTGATATCAGCAGGGGCATAAATACTTTACAAATATTTACAATTAATTTTGGTTCCGTTCCTCTTTTCTCCTAACTACTTCACCATTATTAATTTCTAGTTATATATATGAGATCACAAATGTGAAACATTAATGAAGATTAAGTAAGGAAGTGAAAAACCTACAGCCAACTTGATATGGCTAAATTTAACAGTCTTAAGTTAAAATATCCTTAGCTTGCACATTTAAATATATTCCTTTTTTGTATTTTTTTTAAGCAGGCCATTTAGTGTACAGAAGAATGATATTTTGTAGAGCTAGCCAAAAGGAATGTTAAATATGAACAATGTTTATGATACATAATAAGCTTGTGAAGCAGAAGGGATGTAAATATTTTATGGGTTTCCCAGTTTGGTTCCTTGTAAAGGTCAATCAGGAAGTGCATCTGTTTTAAAGTGTGCAAGAAATCTTTTGAGGACTACATAGAGATAAAGAATAATTCAGGGCATTTTTTTCATCTTAGCTTTTTGTCTGATTACATAAAGAACATCTGTAGATAAATGTTTTTGCTTGTATACAGTATCAGAGGGTTTCCAGAAGTGCTTAACCTAAGAAATATATCTATAATTATATCTATAAACCTACATATTTATATATCTAGAATATCTAGGATATTCAGAATAGGATATTTTGAATAATTGTCAAGCTGAGACTGCGTTTCCTAATGGGAAGTCAAGGAAAAACTACCTGAAGCATAGGGCAACCAACTGTAGATGCAGCATGGCAAACTATAAGACAAAATAACTTCCAAGGCATAATTAGGAATTAATCCTAATAAATATGAAATTTGATTGATTGCATTGCAGATAATAAAAACACCATCAGCATTGACCAAATACCAACGTTCAGTTGCAAACGTCAGCTTTCCATGCTGTGACAATAATTTTAACTCCATCAAACAACAAAATTTGCCTGTCCCAGGATCTGGGGAAGGATTTGAGGGATGCCCAATCCAGTCTAAACATCTGGCTAATTGTGCGACCAACCATAAATACTTAACAACTATCCCTCAATTCTGTTTGTCTCCCATAGCTATGATAGTGGTTATAAGAGGGATCCTGTTTTTCTCTGTAGTTTGAATTTGGTAATAGGCAGGGATCAATGTTCTGCTTATAATTGAAGATACTCTTCAAAAATGCTGAAATTCTGGCTACTGGGATTAGCCACTCTAAATGATAGAGGTACTATATACTACAAATTCTGCCTACTCATCTGGCAAAATGAGACTTCCAGCATTCTTAATTATGCTCAGATTCTCCCATCATTCTGACGAATGTAGAGATTGTAATAGGTTTACTAGAGACATTATTTAGTCAGGTGGTCATTATCAGCACAAATCACAACACTATATTCCTCCCCTCCCCAAAATTATAATACTGTAAAAAAAAACTGAAGTCAATGGCAAATACTAGCAATTCTATTGCTAAAAATACATTTAGAAGGAACTACACAACCAGCACTTATCTAAAAACTACTCACTTTTAGCATGTTGAACTATTCCCTGCTAAAACTTAAATTTCTTGTCTTCTTTCCCACAATCTGGTAACCATCTTGTATGGGGAGCAGCAGATTAATCCTGCTTCACACAATGAACATAAATTATATGGTTTAAAATGAGGACATCGGGTAACTGTACGGATTTTCCCATTTATGCTGAGACTTTTCTAACTGTAAAGTAATTCCTTGATTTGTCTGTCTGAGCACTGCAACAATCTTTTCAATTAAATCATTTGCTAACCAAACATTTTATATTTCAGTGCTCAAGGATTGCCTAAAGTTCAAAAACTATAAGACATATTGAAATGTTTTATGCATTAACGATGCCTTCTCTGTGTGTTTTGTTAATGAATGAAAAGCTATTAGCCTGGCAGTGACTTGTGTAATCGTGGAGAAAAAAATATTCTGCAGAACCCATAAAGAAATCCTTATTGCATTAGAGTGCATCAAAAGCTCTAAGAAACTCATGCCTGAAATAACAGAAACAGGCTATGACAAAGATAACTATCATCTGTGGACCAGAAAGAAATAACTATTGATATTTTACATGTTTAATTTTTATAATGCATGGTAATAAATGTATGTTATCTCATATGGACTAGTTTCTTACAGAGCTAGGATTGCCTGCAAAATCACTGAGTATTTTTTGCTGTTTTGATTACATTTAGTGCAAACATTGGGTTGTTAGTTTGCAATTCATGACATAGATTGAAGTATTTACTTATATATCCTAGTTCAATAAGAAAACAGTTTTTGCTGGAGTCTACAGTTTATTATCAGGCATATTTCTTGTAGAACCTGCTTACTAAATCACAATTAATGATATTCAGAAGTAGAATTAATGATTGCTATAAACAAATTTGGACTTATTGAGAAGTAGTTCTTTATTCCTTGGACCATTGGAGTTTAAAATTCAGATGCACATAGCCTTGATTTTCATGTCTTTATAATCTGGTATAATATTCATATTTATAATAATATAAAGGTATGAAACACTTTTAATTTATTAACTACTACATATACATCTTTGTTATGAATATGAAGCAAATTTTGCAAGCTGGGTTGTGATGAAATTATCATTTGACAACCATTTAGCCCATTGATAATTCTATAAATTTGATGAAAATCCTATATGATGTTAAAAGTATTGTTGTTAGCCACTTTGAATACCTTTGGAATGAGTAGATGGATTAACAACCAAAATACAATCAGCTTACAATAGCAATTGTATTTTCTAAAAGTAAAATCTAAAACATCTCTGTTTCTGAGAACACAGACTGACTAAACAATTGATTTAGGAATGCCATTGCCTTAAGACTGAAAAGGAAATTAAATGTCTAGCTGAAAGACAGAAATTGTTTTAAAACAGGGGTGTCAAACTTGATTTCTTTGAGAGCCAGATCACCACTGTACTTCTCCGCAGGGCGGCCGCAGGGGAGGAAACGGGATGGACACCTCCTGCAGCACCCTGCCAGCCAAAACAGGGTGCGGGAGGCCACACGCAGCCCATCACACCCCGTTTTGGCTGGCAGAGTGCTGCAGGAAGCTGTCCCCCCTGTGCTGCAGGCCGTTCCACCCCCACCCCCTGTGCTCTGTTTGGCTATAAAGGCACTACGGGCCAGTCTTTGCTATTTCCAAGCCAGCCCCGCAGGCTAGATTTAAGCACCCCTGTTTTAAAAGATAAAAGTAAACGAGGACAGTATTAATTAAAGCAAAAGCAAGGTGCTTGCTAGCATACTTTGTGAATATTAATATGTATTGTGTGCTAGATGTTAACTCTTGTCAATGATCTTGAATATTGCCATGATCAATATTGTGGGAATAAATCAGGATATTAAATGCAAAATAGAACTGTGATTTTAAATTCACAAACAAGTGCCTTCAACAACATTAGTGTCTATTAGTAAAAGGAACTTACTTTGTTAGTTAGTTAAATTTGGAAGACCATCTGATTCTCAAATGATTCTGGGAAGCTTGTACAATTAAAAAGGTAAATGGACAAAAACTAGTATTTCCTCAGCAAATCACAGGTGGTGTTGATCCGGCCTTTGCAGAAGCAAGAAACAGACTCCCCGCAAAAAAATAACAACCCCCCCTCTTTATTTACACATTGGGAATTAACTGCATTCATCAACAGAAAGTCCAGGCAGAAGTCCTGCAAGAAGTTAACTGGAACAATAGTCCTTATCAGTTTGTTATGATAAATGCAAGGCTTTGAGCTCCCAGCTGGAGGCTGCAAATTGTTAGTTCAAACAGAGAAATAGACTAACTTCAGTTCTGGCAAGGCAGTCTTTGTCGCACGAAACACACAAGAAGCAAACTTTCCAGAAATGTGAATGGTTGTCTGTGACAACCAACACTCCCCTTTCCTCCTATTTATTCTCCAGTGAGGGAGGGGCCATTCAACATACATGTTTGTTTTGCTTCCCAAGCCAGCTCATTGTCCTCCGTTGTTCACCTATCTGCACTTCAGATACTTGCATCTGGAACAGGCCCCAGCTGTTCCTCCTCCTCCTCCTCACTCATCTCTGACTCCAAAGGCAGCTGCGTCTCTGGCTGGGGAATGCTGGATGACCCTGGCTCTATCTCTGTGTCCGACACTGAGCATTCCTCTGAGCCTTCCCCAACTCCAGAACTGGCCCAAGTTCTTCCCCAACCTCTTCATCGTCAGAGTCTGCTGCCAGCTCCACTTTCAGAAACAAATACCAGGGCTCAACAAATAACGTAACTTCAGGC